CCTGAAAATACTCATCTTCTTATTGCCAAGAGCCTTCCAACGAAACTTTGAAGCATTTCACGAGTGCAATTCCTCCCAACGAAAGGTATTCACCATCCTTTTTCTCGTAAAATGGCAAGTTTCTAATTATAACAAGAGTAATGGAGAGAGGCACCCAAAGGGAAAAGGAGAAAGATTGTCTCCCACGTGCGCGACGAGTCTCATCGTCGCATGCACTCTTACCACTCGCATGGGAGAAAACTTTATTAAAGTATGACTCATTCGTGGCCTCCACCGGTATACAACACCACAAACATAAATACTCTTATGCTGATGCACGTTAATTTTTTTTTCACCAACACTTCCTCCTCCCTTTTCAATTCAATCCTTTCAATTTCGTCATCATTAATAGAATCAGAAACCCGGCATTGAGAAATTTGTTTCTAGCGAATTGACTTTACCAATTTTCTATTGTACTCTTTTCATATTGATGATGTCGTGTGCCAAACATTGAAGAATAGCGTTATTATCGATTATTTATACCAAAATTCAACCTTGAGTTTTTATGCTTTCGATATAGCGATATATCCTGATGATACCACGATTAATCAATATGTATCGATGTATCTTCGATACATATCGATTTATCGCAATGTCTCATGAATCTATATCGCTTCACCTCGATGTTTTATTGATATAGTTAAATTTTTCTCGATATATCATCGGTACATATCGATTTATCGCAATGTTTCATGAATATATATCGCTTCACCTCGCTGTTTTATCGATATAGTTCAATCTTTCTCGATATATCATCGATACATTTCGATTTACTTTGATTTATCGTCGATATTTGTGGACATATCTCGATATAGATCACATGAATCTCTTACGCTGATCCACTTTAATGTTTTCTTCAACACTTTCTCTTCTCTTTCCCATTCAATCCTTTTAATTTCGCCATGATCATCATAACTGAAATCAGAACCTCAGAATGAAGAAATTTATTCCCCGAGAATCGACTTTCTCAATTTTCTGTTGTATTCTTTCCCAAGTGATGATGTCATGTGGCAAATTCTCCAAAAACAAAAATTAAAGAATAGCGTGATTATTAATATTTCAACGCTCAGCCTCGAGTTTACCATCTGGCGTTTCGTGTGTTTCTCACTATTCCTTCACGAAGTTTAGCCATGAAGTTTAAACGAGTCAGCACCCAGCCAACGCCCCACGACCGTCGATAATCTTCCACAATTTCTTTTTTTCTCCCTCTCTCTCTCTTTCTCTCTTCACGGGTTTTTCCTCTCTGCTTAATTGTAAAACATTACGTACCCAAAGGCTAACTGTACGTTCATTATTTTTTGCTTCAGTCTTTGGGAATCATCTTATAATGGTGTTTTTTTTCTCGCTTGGATGGTTCCCATTGGAACAAGGAAGTGGATATCGGGTCACGAGAGTGATTGAAAAAAAGGGGTGAAAAAAATATTGGAGGAAGGAGGTGGCTGATAAAATGTAATAACTTGGAGGTCGTCGGTTGGTGAGTCCACGACAATGACTCACCGCTGGAATCGAGCTGGAACAAATTCCTGAGTCTAATCCAACCGAAACCATTTGTAGACCTGCTTTCCCTCGGCAAAGTGCTACTACTGTTTCATTGGTTGAAAAAAAATTAGATGTTACGGAAGGATGTATTGCAGTGTTGCGAATTTTTTTTTGAGATTTTTTTTTTTGGCCGACAAGCGGATCGATCGGACGCGTCTCATAGGGACGAGCGGGGCAGAATGGAAATTTCAAACATTTTTTTAAAGTTGAATAGAGGAGGTTGGGGTAAAATGGACACTTTGGACTTTTTTAAAAATATTAGTGACGGGTTGAAATGTCGATGAAATTTAATCTTTTTTTTTTCAATAGAAGGAACAATTCTTTCCTTTTGTGATGAGCCTGAACTGAGCTCTATTGATACATTTGTTTCTGAGTTATGAATATTTTTGAAAAAGTTTAAAGTGTCCATTTTACCCTACCCTCCCCTAGAACAATTTTGTTTTTCCGTTGAAAAATAATTTTTGCAATTTATTCCTGAGTTATGAGTATTGAGCAAAATGAAGTGTCCATTTTGCCCCATTCCCCCCAACAGTTCTGTGATCTTGTTCTAGTTTATGTTGAGAATGAGAATTTCCGAGGATGTTTCGAGGTAAAAATGAACGGGATGGCGATGCACATTGGACACACAAGTCCTTTCACCTCTGATTCAAAGGAAAAGACCCCTCAATAGCCTGAAGTTGAGGGAGGTGGACCGCCATTGAAGATCGATAACGCGAGATTGATAGATTGAAATTTGATCATTCGGTTTTCACAACCTTTAGAATACAATGAATGTCATCGGAGGTAGTCTTCTATTCTTGGACCATTTCACGCTGTTTCACATGCCTATGAGACACTAATTCAAATGCGTAAGCGTTTAATTAAAGAGCGGCATTAAAAATGAAGAGTCACTGCGGCCTGTCAATAGGTCTTCGATTTCAATGTCTATAGAACTTGAGATTGGAAGAATGAATCTTTAGGTTCATTCTCGACGCTGTTCAAATGGAGTTAGATGACTTTATTCTGACAAAGTGATCTATTACACACGATGCGGTCCATTCTTTGTTTTTTTACAGAAGTAATATTTTGCATCGAAACATTGCGTGTGTTAATTTAATTTACATATTTTTTGTCATTAGGCCGCATAAAGTGCAATTCTAACCTCGCTTCGCTCAGTTAAATCGAGGTTTTCGGGCCCAATGACAACAAATATCGTTCGATACGCGGCCGTGAAGAACTTTTCAACCACATGTAAAAGTTCTTCACTGCCAAAATATACTATCGTGTAATTTATACTCAGTGGATAGTCATATGTGCAAAGACTCAGATCGGAAACCAGGAGGTCGTGGATTCAAACCCGACCCCCAGCGATTTTTCACATTTCCTCAAATTTGTATTCATATCGTTTCGTTCAGAAATGAGAAATAAAATAACTTTTTCATCACACTGCGAAAAACTCTTTTCCGCACTCGTAACGAAATATACTATTTTGACATTGCTGTTACGTTCACCTCGTGTCGAAAAGTGCCTTTTCATTTACTTGTCCTATTCTAAAAAGAACATACACTTAAAGTCGATAACTATCGATCTCTCGCAAGTCTGTCACGCTTATTCCTCATTAGTTAATTCATGATTAATTTAATTTTGAGATTTTCAATTACGATTGCTACAGTTACAGCGCGCTATAGCGCGCGTTCGTTTCGTAAACGAAAAAGGCACACTCGTTGAGCGCAACATCACTGTCAAAAAATATTGTTCGACACATGTGAGACGGGAATATTCAGCTCGTGGGATTGGCTTCGCCTCGGGCTGCCAACTTCACACTCATGAAAATTCCAGCTCACTCGTATCGAAATATACTATTTAATATCATGTAATAAGAATGTGAAGATTACGATTTCTGTAGACTCGGTCTTGTTGAAAAACATCAGATCATCAGGGAAGCATGTCTTTGATCGATTGCCATGAGTGTAATGCTCAAATTGGAAACCTGAGGGACGTGAGTTCAAACCCAACATCCGGCGATTTTTCGCATTTCCTCAAATTCGTATTCACATCGTTTCGTTCAGAAATGAGAAACAAATAACTTTTTTCCATTGTGTAATTAGAATGTGAAGATGACAATTTCTGTAGACAAGGGCTTGATGCAATTCATCAGATCATCAAGGAAGAATGCATTTTGGCCAACACCAAGTTCCGATAGAAGCAATACAATTCAAAACGGTTGATCAAATCAACACGACTTGTCAATTCACAAAGCAACATCAAACCGCAATAAAACGAAAAACAGCATAGAGAGCAGAAGAAAAAAAAATCCTCAAAGACATGAATTCTCCTTTTGTATAACGGTATAGTCATAGTGCTGGGAGGTTGTTAGTGTGCACGTACATAAAAATTCCTCCAATTAAAAGTCGAGTCTCGTGTATGCGCAAAACACGCGTCTTGAATCATTATTAAATGGTTATAACGAATACGCACACGGCAAAAGTTGGGTAAGGATGCCTCATTCTTCATCAATGACTGTATGAAGAGAAAAAGTGTCCAGAGAGGAAACTATCATCGTTTCGCTTCAGTGAGAGAGGCGAGGGTCTTGCTTCAGCTACTCCCCTGGATTCCTTTGTTTTCATACAACCAATCCCATTCGGTATATTATTTTAGTTTGTTGCCAACGGCTATTGATTGATCCTTTCATTTTGATGTTCGATTTCACTTTTAGATATTTCAATTCAAATTGGTAAAAATGGTTAATTACTGTGTGAATTCTGACAGACTTGTTGATAAGCGCAAGAAGTTGAAGGGTCACAAGGGTCAGAAAGCCCGCAGAGGTCATACCAAGTCATAAATACCAATAAAAATCCGTAAACCAACAAAAAAGTTGATTACTCGCAATGATTTTGACGAACTTGTTGATAAACAATGACGTGTTAAAGGGTCACAAAGGTCAGAATATTTATATTGTACCTTCATGAGGGCCACAAGAATCAGCAAGGTCATAGCGGTCGTATGAAGGTCACATGAGTCATAAACACAAATCAGTAGCGAAGTGGTAAAACGGTACAAGTCAATTTTGACCATCGACCAGTTTTCAATGCATATCTCGAAATCTAAGGGAGATAGCGAAATTGTTGTTATAACCTTTTTGGTAGAGCTGATTGAGTACTGCAATAAATGTAATTACAAAAATTTCGCTATCTCCCTTAGATTCGGAGATATTCCTCAAAAACTCAACTGGGGGATAAGTCGACTTGAACCGTTTTACCACTTCGCTACTGAAATAAAAATTGATGAACCAATGAAAGTTGTCGATTTCTCATCTCAACTAATTTGTTGATAACTAATAACAATTTGAAGGGTCATAGGCCTCAGAAGCCCCACAGGAAGGTCAGACGAAAGTCATGAACACAAAAATGATCATCAATTAGCCAAAAAAATTAATTACTCACGTGGATCGTGACAAATTTGTTGGTAAACAATTCCAGCAGCTGTTGTCTCATCAATATAGTCCCACAATCCATCACACGCTATCACCAGAAAATCCTCGCTACCATCGAGCATAACACAACGTATTTCCGGATCCCCGGTGACATAAGGCTTGTACTGTGCGTCACCTGGACAACAAAATAAGAAAAAAATGGGATTCACTGCGTAATGAATTTCAATAAAATGGAGCATTGAGTAAGTGAGCAAGTGAACACAGCGCGTGTAATTAACTGTAATGATCTAATTAATTCGATGCATGTGATCGTTTGAATAATGAGGTAAAAATGGTAGCACGTGCGAGCTTCCGGTTATTACCGGCTTCCGTGAGAGATGCTGACGTACATTCTAGGGGAGATGCATTTTAATTATTTATTCTGTCAATTTGCCATTGTTATTTAATTGGGGCGTGGATAAACGTGACAAAACAAATCATTTGATCTTTCACATCTGTTTAAAGATTTAATTGTCTCGTAATTAGGAACTTGAGGGGAAAATAGTTTCTTTTTTTTTCGCCTGTAATGGTTTTTTTGGGAGAGAATTCAATTGTTATGGGAAATCTTACTTTTCTTTAAATGAGTTCGACATAATTGCGATAACCACGCACGAAAAAATTTAATCGAAAAACCTATCGAATTTGTTAGAAAAGTAGATTGAATTTATATTAAACTTTCTATTAGTTTTTGGCTGATTCTATTGACATGTTCAATAGAAAACATTCAATAGAAAAAGTCAACAGAATTCGATTTTTCTATATAACTTATTTTTTTCATATATTTTCTATAGAATTTGCTCGACTCAAATTTTCTAAGTTTTTTTCATTCTAGTTTTCTTTTCTTCTCATCAAGAAAATCAAACGAAAAAATTTGGAAAATTTGAGCCGAGGAAATTCTATAGAAAATATCTCAATAGAATGAGTTATATAGAAAAATTCAATTCAATTGACTTTTTCTACTGAATATTTTCTATTGAACATTTCAATAGAATCGGCCAAAAACTAATCGAACAGTACAATAGTAATTCAATAGAATTTTCTAACGAATTCGATCGGTTTTTGTATTAAATTTTTTCGTCCGTGACCACCTGAAAGAAATCATTTAGATCAATTTCTGTTGCCTTTTTCCCCGAAAAATTGATTGATAACTGATGAGATTTCGATGATTTCAAGACTTTTGGAATTATTTGGAGTTCGAAGATCAGTATTTAAAGGAGAAAATTAATGCAAAAATTCTGGGTACTGCGATGACCCTCGAAGGAAGGTGCGAGATAGCAGGAAACAAAACGACTAGTGTATGCTCGGCACGCGCTGCCTATTTTCACGCATACATAAATGGTAAAGCCTCACTCAAAGTGGGGTCAATCCATACTTGGTACTGGTTATTGGTACGACTGACGACAGTGAGAATATTCTTCGAAAATCGTCCAAATTTAATGCGTTAGAATGATTTAGGCCGGGGTAAAAACGTGGATTTTGCATTTCTAAACATTGAGTTATCTCATGAACGAAAAATTTGTGAAGTGAATGACCAGAACTATCTTTTATTGACAATTGATCTGGACATTTTTCCCCAAAGAAACTCATTTTGATGATTATTACAGAATTGAAAAAAAATGATACGTTTTTCAGACATTCAAAATTCACTTATTCATGATCTATTGAGAATAAAGTAAAACGGATGCTTAACTTTAGTGTTAGGAGCGTAATGAACATTGAAAAAAGCTAAAATCGTATGAAAACTACGGCGCAAGGAACATTTTGAAGGTAAGAACAGGAAAAAAAGAAGTTGCTCCCATATTTTGGCATATATCAGTAGCGAAGCGGTAAAGTTGGTCAGTGTTTAATGAATTGCTCGGAACCCAAGGAAGATAGCAAATTTTTTGCAATAACCTTTTTTATAGAGCGAATTGAGAGCTACAAAAATGGTTATGATGACAATTTTGCTGTTCCGCTTAGATTCGGAAATATTCCTTGAAAAATCAGCGAAGAGCTAAGTCGACTTGAATCGATTTACCACTTCGCTACTGAGATCACAAACTGTTCCAATGGCCCAGTCAAGACTTTTAAATTTCACCGGCATATCCCCTTAAGGTGTTTCGGTTGAAAAGTCAAAATAATGAAAAAAAATTGGAAAATTCACGGGAGAAATTTCTAACTATGCTGCGTCATTGAGAATTCTTGCACATTTTCTTTAGGTCTCAGTTTCGAGAAAAAAAATTATGAAATTTGGATTTTTTTGTAACCCCTCCAGCTATAACCTCCGAGGTTATCCCACTCTCAATTAGGGAAATTTCCATGGCACCCAAAAAAATTATGAACAATAGTTCATATTGAGGAGAAACTAGTGGGTGTTAAATCAAATCTTTCTTGAGAACACGTATAACTTTCAGATTTTTTTCAGTTTTCATAAGAAAGTTATTTGAACAAATGATTCGGAAATTTATGAGTTTCGGGGCAATTACGCCGTCACGCGCAGGCGCGTGATTCAAATGTCAGTGAGCATCATGGGAAAGGTATGGCTTGGATCATGGAATTGAGAGAGAGAGAAAACACTCGACAGGTTTACCAACTCGAGACGCATTTTAATATTATTTCAATAGTTAGAATAACATCCAATAAAAATTATCTGACACCCGTAGGTGATGAGAAAAAAATCAATCAATCTGATAAATAAAATCAATATTCAAAAAAATGTTCAAATGCACACTCAAATAGTTGCTTGAAAATTGGAAAATTTCGTGCTCAGCGATTGAATCAGGGCTCGAGAACAATAAGACTCCCCTTCCATTTCACCCCCGCTGATCTGTAGACAAATAACCCTAAACGTTCCAGAGAAATTAATTCATCAAGAAAACATCCTTGCAGAGAACTTGTTCCACAAAAAAGATTTTTCGTCAATTATCTCCTAGACTTACTCTCTCCCCAAATCCTTAAATTAACGATCACCAAAAGCCACCGAATTAAAGTGATTAAAATTTCCCACAGCAGAATAAATCATCACCACACGATGCTTTCTTCTCCCATGTGTTTTAATAAGTAATCAATGAGCGTATCAAGTATCCCGATCCGCTCTCTAGCCATTCAAATCACTCCACTCAGTGCCCACACACACAACAGACGAACTTGCTTTTTCCTATAATACTTTGCGCTTACCTATTGCTCGTGATACAGCAAGATTTCCGTCCACCCGCCACATCCCGTAGTACATCACACTTCCGCCCATCCTTATAACTCTGTCCTTCTCGTCCTTCATGAGAAATAAAAATCACTGTTATTCCGTTGTTTAAGTCTTTAAAAACAAAAGTTGAAGCCCCAAAAATCCCTCGAGACAAGAGTAATAAAAATGTGAAATTCAAGTGAAGAGGGACGAGAATGGCGACAAAAGGGACACAACTTGATAACGATAAACACCTCTTGAAATTCTCGACTTATGAAGAGTACCTGGACTCCCTGGTGACCCAAGTGGATCTCGATTACCTGAGAAACACCGAGACAGCGAGACTTATCGCAGAGTTGGGTTACAAAAGCACGGGAGAGACTCTGGATCGCGAGGCCTTCCACGATCGCAGAAATATCGTCAAGGATTTATTATTCCCCGTGTGGAGACCATTCACACTTGACTCTGAACTGACGAACCACAGGGACCCCCTGATAATAGAATTATCACTTCGAGAGAGGGCTAATCGTCTGGGAACACTGTCGACAATTATTTTCGTCAAGATAATTACGAAATCTGGATTCGAAGTTTCTGGATATATAGATTTTGCTCATCGATTGAGGAGGGAGAATTGGAAGCCGTTCTTCGAGGGGAGGAGGAAGTTGAGACCGGGGAAGAGTGATCTTTCGTACTATCATTGGAAGACTAAAAAGTTGATTCTGAATGGAACGGATAATTATGAGCCTGTGATGGATGTGAAGAAGGGGATTCTTTTGAAGAATCTCAAGGATCTCAAGTTTGTGGATTTGGATCCTAAGACTAGTCCAGGGGTCGATACGTTTAGGTTGAGGGTCGAGAGTAGGGATTATCAGCAGGTAGTGCTGTATGATCATGTCGTGAGATGCAGACTTTAAGGGGAACAGATCCATTTTTTACGCATTTTCTAAATAATAATTTATCTTGATAGGGACTTGTTTTTAGGAAGAACCACTCCCGCTGTATGTTCATCAAAAGATATTTCAAGAGATTTGAAAGAAGAAATTATTTCCAACGACATTAATTATCAATTTCAAGTATTAGAAATAAATTTGAAGAATTGCTTGGGGAATTTTGCATGTTTTGTTTGTGCTTTTCATTTTTTCAACCTCAAAATCAATTGGGAAATATTTTCTGAACCAAGAGGTTTGAAAAAATCAATAGAAAGACTTTGCAGAGAATTTCCTCATCTAAATAAAATTACTCTTGACATTTTCTTTCAAAACTGTTCGGGTAAAAATTAAAAAATAAATCCATAATTAACAAACAAAATTAATTTCCTATTAATCTCCTAAATGAAGTATTTCATGAAAAATAATCAAGAGATGTTTTTTATCAAAATTTCCCAATGGAAGAAAAGTGAAATCTAGACTCCTATTTCCCAAGTCTTGAATTAAAACTTACAGTTCTGTCTGGCCTGTGTGGATTAACAAACTGAGTGACTAATTTAACTAAATCGTAAAAAAAATTAATTTACCGAAATTAATGATTAATTTCAACAAGTCTGTGTTTTTGATTCTTCAATCCTCAAAAGCAATTGAAAGATATTTCCTAAACCACAGGTTAAACCAAGACGTTTGGAAAAATCAATAAAAAGACCTTTTGCATAAAATTGCCTCATCTAAACAAATTTTTTTGACATTTGCCCCAAAAACAACTCATATACAAACTAAATCTCCAATTAACAAGCAAAATGAATTTCCTATTCATCCCCTAACCGACGTATTTCATGGAGAAATATCAAGAGGAAATTTCCCAATGAAAAAAAAAATTAAATTTGCTGATATTTCCCACCTCTTGAATGAAAACTTACAGTGCTGCCTGACCTGTGCAGATTAACAAGCTGAGTGACTAATTTAACGAAATTAATTATTAATTTCAAGCAATTGTGTTTTTGATTCTTCAATCCTGAAAATCAATTGACAGTTATTACCTAAATCACAAGTTAAAACAAGAAGTTTGAAAGAATCAATAGAAAGACATAAAATTTTGCATAAAATCGAAAATTTATATAAAATTGCCTCATCTAAACAAATCCTTTTGGCATTTGCCTTAAAAACGAATCGTACACAAAACAAATCTCCAATTAACTATCATAATGAATTTCCTATTCATCCCCTAATGAAGAAATATCAAGAGGAAAAATTTCCCAAGGAAAAAAAAATGAAATCTACTGATATTTCCCACCTCTTGACTGAAAACTTACAGTCCTGTCTGGCCTGTGCGGATTAACAAGCTGAGTGACATTCCCCCGTTTCGCAAGTGCAGCCTGAGAGTCACCAGCCCAAGCAACGTACAATTTTCTATTGATGATCAGTGCACAGAGAGCTGTGGCACCACTGTTGATCATCAGATCCTGGGATTTCTGTACAAAATGTGCATCAGTTGTAACGAAGGCATCGCGCAATGCACGCTCTGGATCAGTTGGATAATGAACACTCTCGGCTAAATACTGATGTAAATGTGCTGTACAGTAGACAGCAGCTTCCGGGCCCAAATGCCCATCGAACACAGCGTAATAACTCGCTGTTGATTCGTCTTGTATATTGAAAATGGTGTTTAGATCGTGCAATACGACGTGACGATCTTCCATCTTTCGTCGGGTATTTTTTATGGCGTAGACTGTGGTTAGAGGTAGAGGAGTCGATGGTGGTGGTGGCAGCAAGGCTAGTCTGCTGTTCTCCAAGTAACGTTGACATATTTCGTTCACTTTGCCTGTTACAGCCTGCATCAGCTTCAGTGGTGCGTATGCTGGAGTACATGCAAGAGAAAATTATTGATCAAGAGGAAATAGTGGTAATGTAATGGAATAGTGGTAATCAGGGATAGCCAAATTTGTAATATTTTATTACGGTTCCTTTTGTAGCCCTTAAGGAGAGACTACTATGAGGTTTAAAAGTCGTGGGTTATTGGAGTGAGACTTTTCATACGTTGAAAATCGATTATATAGATCTGAAAACAAATAATTAGTGCAAAAAAAATTTTTTTATTGTTCGTTTGCCTGAAAAGGCTTAAAATGCCAAAAACAGTCCAGGACCTCCAATTTTTGAGCTACGAAGGATTTTTGTTTTTCAAAATTTTCGGAAACATGCGGAATAACAATTGCGAGCTAGTTTTTTCGAATTCGCCTCTTACATGGCTAAATTTGCTTTTTTTGTATTTTTTTTTACACAAATGGTGAATTTTTTTTACATGAAAAAAACCGAAATCAGCTGTGTAGGAGTCGAATTCCAAAAAACTGGCTTGTAATTGTTATTCTACACATTTTTCCGAAAATTTTGAAAAAAAAGAAATCTTTTGTAGCTCAAAAATTGGAGACCCTGGACTGTTTTGAGCATTTTAAGCGTTTTCGGGCAAACAAATAATGAAAAAAAATTTTTTTTGCATTAATTATTCGTTTTCAGATCTATATAATCGATCTTCAACGTATGAAAAGTCTCACTCCAATAACCCACGACTTTTAAAACTCATAGTAGTCTCCCCTTAATTAGACAACATCACTCTTGAAATTTTTTGAGTACTTGGGTATCATTCAACTATTTTATCAATCAATAATTTGCGGTAGGAAGATTGACGATTACTTGTGTAATCGAAAATCCCCCGTCAAGAAATTTGAATTATTCACTTAGTAGTAAATTTACAGTTTCATATTAACAAATTTTCAATATATCATTACTCGTAAAAATCAGATTATTAATATTGGATTATTTGAAAAATTGAATCAACATATTCTAAACCTTCAATAATGTAAGGGTCAAATCTTTGTAATATTACAGAAATTTAATATTGATGGGGATCCCTGGTGGTAATATAATGGCCAGGGGAATGGCATGGAGTACTCACTCTTTTCTTGTGGCCTCAGACCGCAGGCCTCCGGCTGCTTTCTGCACATTGTTTTTATCTCCTCGATGACGAGGTGAACTATGTGCGATTGGAGACTTGGTGGACAATATCTGGAATTGAGAGGAAACAGTTATACGAGGGGAGAAGGCAACTTTTGTGGAGAGCTTGTCGAATGTAATCAATTGATTTTGAAATCGAGGGTTTGGAAAGTTTTGAGGAATTGACGACATTTCGACTATTTTTGGCAAGGCCCCCAATAAAAACGTTTCATTGAATTTTTCTGCAAATTTGTTTAAGTTTGCAAGCATTTTCAGCAAATTTATTTGAGTTTGCAAACCCCAAAAATATGAAACATTTTTATAAATAATTTTTTTTCATTAAGGCCCGAGTGTGCTATCTTTCGAACATTATCTCGATGTTTTTTTTCATCTCTCATCATCTGAAATTGTTAATTAAGTCCTGCATCATGCAGAATTTTTGAAAAATTATAAATGAATAATTTTAAAAAAGTAGAAAATTTTTTCAATTTTTTCAAAGAGCATTTTTAATTTATATTCAGAATAAGTTGAATAACAAGAAATTGCAAAGTGTATCTGATTTACGGTGACAAATGGCGGCCTGTCACCCAATATCATGCAGGGGGAAGACTGATTTCGTAAATCTTTTCCCACATTGCACAGAGACATTTATTACGGAAAAGGCTCTTTGAAAAAAGTTATAATATTTTGGAGAATTTTTTAACCACACATATAGTTGAATAATGCACACATATAGTTGAATAATGGATTTTATGAAGAAGCCAGCAACTAAACGTTACTTCCATTTTCAGTATGGAAGGATTCATAAACACAAATCAAGTCATCAGAGGACGGTTGCAAAACATTGACGAAAATAATTTGAATTTACTGAATAATGAACTGAAAAAATCGAATTTCGTATATTGCAATAGAATTAACGAGTTTTTCCCTAATTTTTTATAATAATTTTTAATTTTTCCTGTTCATATATTTTTTGAGACATTGCCACGTTTTTAGTAATTTGGCAAGGCCACCAGTAAAAACGCTTTATTGAATTTTTTCTGTAAATTTGGAGTTTCTGCAAATTTTGCAACCCATCCACGGAGTTTGCAAAACCCAAAAATATATAAATTATGATGGCAAATTATGATGATGATTAATTATGAAGATTCCATGAACAACTAATGGATTATTAAGGTATTTAATGAGTTTCTCTGCAATTTATACAATTATTTTTAACGTCTTAGTTGCAATATTATTACAATAGAATTGTTTTATGACTTTATATTTTGTTTATACAGAATAAATTATTGCCCTGATGAAGGATACCTTGTGGGTCCGAAAGATCGGCAGAAATGGAAGGTTTTTGTTTTGGATATTCTAATTTTTATTAATTCGACCTTGTATTAAAATCCCTTGGAGTTTCTAGGAAAATTACGAACGGTTGAATAAATTCATGTGAAATTACGATGATTAATAATTTATAATTAAATAATGGATGAATGAAGAAACAAGTAACTAAGCGTTGCTGCCACATTAACCGAAATGATTTTTAATTAACTGAACGTCGTCCACCTTTTCTATCAAATGTTTAATTATCTCGTAAATAGGGGGTTTCAGTGAAAAAAGTCATGAAATACTTCTTGCAGCTCCCAAAATTCTCTACAAAAAATGTCTCCTGACATTTCTCCCTAAAACTACTCATTATCGAGATAATTCAACTAGAACAAAGCATGAAAAATCCACTCGTTCAATGTTATCGATGTTAACCGATGTTATCAGTTCGCGATAAGATCTCAATAAATAAAAATGCCGGCACATTGCGTGAATGATTGGAGTCACTCCAATCCATTATCAACTCATCGATCATTCGAAAATCCCGTTCCACTCAGCGGCTACACCTAATGCATAATAAACGACGCAGCTAGACATTCCAACAGGTGTCACGACGCTGCAGTCTGCTGCAGCCTGCAACAACGCATCTCCCTAACCTTACGCTCTGTCAGCGACCACCAGCAATCCCCACAGCATCACTGCATCCACAATTCCATAAACAAAAAATGGTGAAAATCGTGGGAAAGTACCAGCACGAGAGGAGTGAGAATCTCGAGGAGTATTTCAGAACTCTCGGTAATTATCAAGTAAAATAAAACAAGTGGGAAATTGCTCCTGTATTGCGAATAGTATAGTTATTTTTACAAATAAATTAGCAATATGCTTCCGAATGGTCATTTTGCTTATTTTTTTCCATTGTATATTATTCATAGCCTATTTTATTTTCATGAATTGAATCAATTTCTTTCTAACTAATTGTTTTAGATTTTCCACTTGATGAAATTCTAAACATTTCTGAAAAATTCTATGAAATATTATCAGGAATATTTCCTTTATATATAATTGAATGCATTCGAAACATCATATTTAAAGGAACCATCAGAAAGCTAACTTTCAGCGGAATTCATAAAAAATTCGAAATTTCCAAAAATTATTTTAAAAATCACATTAACCGAGAGAGTTATTGTAACCACCTTTTAGCTTCATCATAGTCGCATTGAAACAAACATATTAAGCTGTGATTGAATTAATTTGAAGCGCAATATCCAGAAATATCTGCGGAATTCTGATTTTCGAAAAATACGAAATTTTGCAAAAATTTCACAGAAATCAAAATAACGATTATTCCTATCGCTTTCATCTTCGAACTCGGTCAAAAGGACATTCCAACGAATTTTTTAAGCCGTCATTGAATGAATTATTAGAACATTTTTTTTAGTTATCGTGTTACAACTGAATTTTGAAAGAATTCGAAAATTAAAAAAATGAATTAATGAATTAAATTTTAATTAATGGCGATGGATAGGGCTTAGCAATACCTACATGTGAGAAAAAAAAAGATTCATACGAACGTACGGACACCGTCTAAAAAATGCAATTTCGGACTTTTGGGATCATAAAGGGTCGATATAACACAAAAAACAGAAAACTTAAATTTGAACAATTACAATGAACCATTCGGAAGCAAAAAGAAAACTGAATGAATGAATAATTCCTTGACATTTCTAATTTCAACGAGTGATTTAATTGAACAGGTGTCCCGTACGTCGTCCGGAAAATGATGTCAATTTCAAATCCAAGAATCGAAATCAGTCAGAATGACGACGAGTGGACGTTGAAAAATGTCACGATGCTTCGAACTCAGGAAATTAAATTCAAACTTGGAGTGGAGTACGAGGAGTTCATGCCAGCTGGTGTCGTTCTCAAAGTTAATGGATGATAATCATCATTAATAATTGATGACTGGTGCAGTAATCAAGGTTTAACTGTCGTTAATTCCTTTCAGAACATGACGAATCTAGAGGGAGACTGTTTGATAACTGTTTCGATTGGACCTGACGGGAATAAAGTCACTCGAAAGTACGAGTTCAGGGACGATCAGCTGATTCTAGTGAGTGAAATCATCGTCATCATCATCATTAGAACGAGTTGATCAATGATCTTGGATTTTTTTTCAGACGATGACGCAGGAGAAAAATGACGTCGTCTGCACCAGATACTTCAAGAGAATCGAATAATTTCGGAATCATCATCAAATGATAAATGATTGAATATTGTTTGAGATATGGGGAGGGTGTGGTCTCGCGTGTAATCTCATGATGATAAAAAATCCGCCTCCACCCCTCACTATCAACTGCGCAAACGTAAACAATCCAATCTCCCTTTCCTCCCCCTCCGATTTAATATCATTAACAGGAAATGAAGAAAAATGATTTTTTTTAATCATCAATATCCCGAGACCCAATGATGCAATTTGGATGAGTCAGGTCTCATTTTGAAGTCTAAAAAAATACCTTTGAAATAAAAAAAAAAATTTGAATTTCACTCAGTCGATCTCGTGCTATTGACGATTAAAAACGTCTAATTTTCGTTTTCTTCCTCTAAACGAGTTCACCGAAATAAAAAATATCCAATGATCAATATTTCCAGACCGAACGAAGCAATTGAGACAAAACAGGTCCATTTCAAAGATATTTTGTCAGTCTTGAAAATAAATAAAAAATTGTTGAAATTCACTCAGCCGATCTTGAGTGATTAACGTTTAAAGGCGGTGATTTTCTGTGCTGAAATAAAAATTATCGAATGATTCACCACTAACTTTTGATTCAAATACTGAAGCGTCATGTCGATGACTTCACCGACGAGTTCAGCCTCCCTGACGTCGTAGCCCGTCATTTTGACCGGGAGTTGATCGTCGGGGTCCATGCTCTCGACGAAGTCCACGAGAAATCTCCTGTAGGAGCCCAAGTAATCCCCGTCCACTTGATCCATTGCAATTATTTTATCAAAAACCACTGGGTGTTTTCGTCGTAATCAAAACAAACAATTGGGGGTTAATGCGTAAACAGAGGCGTGACCATGTGACACTTCCTATACATCGCGAGTTCACTCGGCACTATTAGCTTAAAACAGCACTAATTAATTCTTCATTAATTATCGAGGGATTAATTGTCGGGCGTTCGACTTATTGTTTGACGAAGCAGTTTTTGCTTTTGTCTTTGTTTTTTTTTATTTCAGTGGATTCACTCAACGGTAACACAACCCACGAAAAAAATCATTCGTTGATATGCGATATTTGTACTTTCAGTTACGTTATTGTGTCATTCGTTCGCATGCTGATTAGTCCGGGGATACATATGTTGGGTATGTATGTTGCGCGAGGGGTTTGTACTGTGTGTGCCGATTATTATTGTTTTTTTTTTCGTGTTTCGATTGCAAAATTTTACGGGAGAACTGACGGGTGGGGGAGTCCCTGGGGGTTAGGGTGGGTTTTCACGAGGCGTGGGATCACGTGACAGAGGGGGGATTGGGCGGGAATTTTTGGCGGGGATTCAAATGTGACGGAGAAGAATGAATCCAAAAAGCAAAAAAAAAATTATTCAGTGATGGTTTTTTTTATGAATTCTAATTCAAATTCTTGCTTTAATTATTTTTTTGAACAATAGTCTCTCGATTGACTGGGGTGCTTCGATGCAGAAACAAATTATTTATTAAAAAAGTTTGACACTGACGATAATTTTCATATTGGGCACAGATTTTTTATTAATTTTTCCTCATTTTTCCAGATTTTTTCTGGATTTTAATCTTCTTTCTAACCTTGAAAAGTTCATTTTCTCATAAGACTCTGTGTTATTTTTGCACTTATAGATTAATTATTATCAATAATACTCGCCTGTCAATTGAGTACAAACTGAACAGGAATGTTTCTATTCATATCAACTTTCGTGTGAAATTTATTTCAGATTTTAATCTTTAAAATTCAAGTCATGTTTATGCTACTTTAAGGGCGGATGATATATTAAAATTCAGAGATGAACTTATCAATTGTCCCATCATCCTGTCAATCTCAAATTTAACAAAAATGTCGATCCAACATTCTCTTCGTCCTTTAAAAAATTTCAGACTAAGGATTCAAAAGAAAAGAAAATAATCATCTTCGTGTCTTTTTATTGAGGAGAATTTGTTCACGAAACCACCGAAATTCAATGAAATCGTCTTTATTAACATCACCTGTGAATGTAATCAATGCAAAAAAATTACATCATATTATTTCATAAGCGGACAGTCCTTACAGTCTCGTTGACAAACGCAAAAATTAAACTCTCTTGTACGTGTAGGAGCCTTTTACCCCGGTCTTTTTGTCTGCCAAATGCTGTAAAAAAACGAGGAAATTGTTAGAGCTCAAATTAAAGTTCAGAAATATTCTCCATTGTTCATCCATTGGACGGCGCAGGTCGGTGAAGAGCGGGGTATTGCGAGGTTGTTCAATGGCTACGATGCACTCTTCTTCGAATTTTTTATATTTTGTATTAATCTTAAGGACAATGTTGAGAAATTTTATATTAAAATTCGGATTGAGATTCATTCGGACGTCGGCATAATCATAAGTTTCAATTACAGTTAAATTTCAAACAAGTCAATTGTTAATATTACTCACCAATTTCTTGATTATTAAATTAACCATCAATTTAAATCTAAAAAAAAAATAATCTTCAAGTTCCGAATTATTTTATCAGCAAATAATTGAAAAATTTTAATTACCAATTATTATATTATTTTTCAAATTTCAATGAACATAAAGTATAAACTTGATTATTGTAACGTGCAACTTCTCATAATATTACTAACGTAATCACGCACGAAAAATCTATTGAATTTCTATTGAACTTTCTATTAGTTTTTGGCTGATTCTATTGACATGTTCAATAGAAAATATTCAATAGAAAACGTCAACAGAATTCGATTTTTCTATATAACTTAGTCTTTTCATATATTTTCTATAGAATTTGCTCGACGCAAATTTTCTAAGTTTTTTTCATTCTATTTTTCTTTTCTTCTTTCAAGAAAATCAAACGAAAAAACTTAAGCCGAGGAAATTCTACAGAAAATATCTCAATAGAATAAGTTATACAGAAAAATTGAATTCTATTGTGACTTTTTCTACTGAATATTTTCTATTTAATATTTCAATAGAATCGGCCAAAAACTAATAGAACAGTTCAATAGAAATTCAATAGAATTTTCTAACGAATTCGATAGGTTTTTCTATTAAATTTTTTCGTCCGTGATGATTGATGCCGATCTATGGATTCATTGATCCTAACAGATTTAATCTTCTCTAATTCCATAACTTAATCCATTCAAACGAGTAATTTTCTAAGAAAATACCGAATGCAAATGTCTTTAGTAGATGAGAAAATTATAATTAATTAATACGAAATGTTTCAAATTTTTTCATTCTAAACCAACTCATCATCAAAGAACCTCAATTTTTAATAATCCCCGAGGAAACTTAGAGATAAAAAATGACTGTAATTTCTGAGACCGCATCATATGCCCAAAAATGGTCACAAATAATTTGTAAGCAAATTGTTATCAAACCATTCATATGGATGCCTAACAGCTATAACTAATTTCTAATTTGTGACGGTCATAAATATAAAATAAATAGTTCTATCTATGTAGATGAAAAGTGACCGTGATATTTCCATTGTAAAATGCGCATTAGGCTAATACGAAATGAATTCAAATAAAAATTGATGATGAAATAATGAAGTTTTATCTATACAGACGAACAATGACTGTAATTTTTCCTCAGTAAATTGTGATGGCTATCGCGCTGGGAGGGGGGGGGGGAGAAAAAACTACTGAAATGCAGGGAAAACTGCGCCACGAATTCTCATGCAAAAGGGGATGAAAAAATTTGAAAGATAGCCTGAAAAATTTGTTCATTTTCGAGGAAGTTGATGAAACGAGTTGAAGGTGATCTCAAGAGAATAAATAATTTAAAGAATTATTCGAAAATACGAGGTGACTGACAGGTGTAGGCGCCACCATTTTGCTTGGATGCCCTCGCCCTCTGCCGCAAGGAGCTTTAATGATGGCGGCGCCCGCACCTCGTATTTTTAAACATCTCCTACGATGATTTATCTTCTTCAGATTACCCTCAACTCCCTTCAGCCGGTTTCTATAAAAGGAATAAATTTTTAAGCCATCTTTCAGATTTTTCCATCCTCTTTTGGCTAAGAATTCATGGCGCAAAGTTTCCTCTACATTTTAAAATACGAAAGAAAAATTATTAGATTTCAATTGAGTGGCCAAAGGGTAGGGGCGTAACATTAAACAAAAAATTCTCTCAAGAATTTCTCATAAATTTCTTTTAAAATTTTTAAATATTCCTCGATAATTCAACTAAAAGCTAAACTTATTCATTCTTCTTTCATTTATTTTTCGTCATTTCTAAATCAATTTTTTTGTACAGAATTTTTTTTTCACAGGTGCAATTTTTCAGATTAATTAGGTTTTTGATCTTTTAAATAAAATTGCATTGAAAAGTGTAATGATTTCGCTTACAATTTTATAAATTGATAAATTTAGAAATGCCTAATTGAATTAATGAATAAATTTTGACAAAACGATCGAAAAAATACCTTAAGAACAGCTCCATGTGGCATCATCTCGTCATAAGGGGTTCCAAGAGTGAAAGTAGTTTTTGAACTCTTTCCTTCACCGGCGGCAGTGAGGCTCCATTTATCTCCAGCCTGAGTGAACTCAAGGGTGGGTTTAGTCTCAGCAAAAGCCGTGGCAGTCTCCGCCGTGGGAAATATACCCACTGCCATCACGTACCCCGCGAGGTTCTCACTCGCCACCTTCTCGTACTTGCCAATAATTTGCACCATTTTAATTGATATTATTTCCACCGACCTTTTAAATAAAACGTACTCTCCGTTTGTCAAGGATAAATGAAGTGCTTGGAGACCGATCACTGCTTTTATAACCGAGGAGAGATAATTATGCAACGAGGGGTATCTCGAACTGTTTGAAAGACTATTTGAAATATTCATGATTAATTACTATTTTGAAGTTATTGAACATTACAAATGAAATAGTATTTAAACAGTTCACGTATGAAATAATTCAATAGAAAACCTAGCGAATTCGCTAGAAAATTCCATTGGAATTCTGTGGGAATTCTATAGGAATTCTAGGTGATTTCTATAGGATTTCTATTGGAATTCTATTGAAAAATTCTATTTGTTTTTTGCGCTGATTCTATTGGATATTCGATAAGAAAAAGTCAATAGATTTCGAATTTTGGTTTGAATTTTTCTCTTGAGATTTTTTCTATGAGAATGCTTGACAGTGATCGGCATGAATCATTATTCCAGAAATATTGAGAGAATTATTTCCCCAAATAACGGAATTCATTCGTTTATCATTGGAACTTAGAAAATAATAAATAATTGAGAATTTAAATTTTTTCAACAACTATTAGGTAAATAATTGGAAGTTTTCAAAAAATATTAGAGAACATCAAATAATCGTCATTCTTCCGGATTCGACTATTGATTGGTAAAATAATTCGCAATTCAAATATTTAATTGTTGATTAATTTGATAATTGAAAATTGTTAAGTTCTATTACTTGATTGCGTATTTATGAAATTAATGGTAATGATAATTTATGATTATGCCTATCTCTGATGCTTGGGCATCAATTTTCTAAGTTTTTTCGACTCAGATTCTACAATGCAGAACAAAACAAAATCCAGCGGAAAAAACTTGGAAAATTTGTGCCCAATAATTCTAATAGAAAAAATCTAAGAGAAAAATTCAAACAGAAATTCGAGAACTATTGACTTTTTCTTATTAAAGATCCAATAGAATCAGCACAAAAAGTAAATAGAATTTTTCAATTCAATTTCAATAGAAATCCTATAGAAACCCCATAGAATTCCTATAGAATTCCAATAGAATTTTCTATCGAATTCACTAGATTTTCTATTGAATTTTCTCATGCGTGTCAAATAGTATTTATTCATATGTGGTTCTGAAATTGAATCAAAATAGGTATTTTATATTTCATTTCGACGGAACGAAAAATAAAATAGCATTTGCTAATTTGTTTCACTATTTCACTGTTTGTACTGCACAAATATCGCCAATCACCCTTATTGTTTTTTGAATATAATATATCTATAGGATTTCTATTGGAATTCTATAGAAAAATAGAAACCCCATATAATTCCTATAGAATTCCAATAGAATTTTCTAACGAATTCGCTAGATTTTCTATTGAATTTTTTCATACGTTGATAGACGGAATTTGTCAAATTGGAATATCTGTTTCAAATAGGAATTCAAATTGATTTTCATGAAATAGAAATTTTATGAAACTTCATTCTGGCGGACAGAATAAAGCCAGCAAAATTGAATAAGCGTTCAACCGGTGC